CCCACCCACCACACCCACCACACCCACCACACCCACCACACCCACCAACCCCCACCAACCACCACCACCACCACGACGACGACGACTACTACTACTATCACCACCACCACTGCCACCTACCACCCGCCCTTCTACCTACTAACTACCTACTCCCTACTACCTATGTACCTACCTACCTTACCCTACCCTACCCTACCTTACCCTACCTTACCTTACCCTATCCACCTACCTACCTACTACTCCTCATGCTGCTGCTACTGCTACCAGCTATCTATGCATCTATCTATCGGTCGATCTATCTATCTATTTTCTTTCCATCCATCTATCTATCTGGAAACAAATCTGGGGCCCCGTGGTTGTTTATTGCCCCTCCTCACAAGGTGTTGTTCTCCTTACCCCCTCCTAGAAACAAAGGCTGCAGCCTCATTGTTGCTTTTGGACCACCCCTCCAGAACAGCACCTCAGAGCCTCAAAGGCACTTGAAACAAGTCCAACAAGTCCAGCTACTCGCGAAACCAACATATCCAACTTTGTCCCCTTGAAGTTTGGGGCTGCAAGACATGACAACTACGTTGGGCGGCTGTTCGAACTTGTCGCTACCAACAACCGTCGCCACAACCCTTACGTCGGACCATGCCATCCACAACATCATGCAAGAGCAGTGTTGAAATCGGGTGTAAGTTGCCATGCCTTGCGACACCTTTTGCTCCAGGCCAATGGATGACATCTCCATTGGATGCACTGCTGCACTGGTCCAAGGAAGATGTCTCGGCCTGTGGGGCTGAGCGTTTTCGGTGAGTTTGGGCCCATGAATTGTGGTGAAGTCTCACACTCCTTAGGTGAATGGATAAAAGAACGCGCCACTTTGTCCAAGGTCCTGGTTTTCTAACTTTGCCCTTCAAGTGTCTCAGAACGCAAAGGTCCAGAATGTAGATATCGCCCCCAAGGAAACAAGCGAGGCAGGGACTCTAAGCTCAAAACAGTTCCAGAGAACATTTCGTTCTAGAAGAGAAACGCGAGAAAAAAATTGAAGAATACAACAATCCTGTTATTTTCAGCACGGGAACATGATAGGACATCCAGTCCGGCCTGGACACAAGGATTTCAAGAGTATGAATTTCTAGGTGCCGGTGCGCTACACCGTACAGTACAGTAAATGTTTCTTTTGAGCAATCCAATGGTATACATACATATTGCAGTTTGAGAAAGACACTTCGACAAAAGGAAAACAATGCATGCCATAGATGCTAGAACAAACTAAAATCAATGGCAACAAGATGTCCAATGGTTGTTAAAAGGAACATATAAGAACAAAAATGAAAAAAGAACTCGCTTCAACCCCTCCTTAATTTCTCAATACTTATCATTATTTGAGGCTGCTGAGCTGTTTACCGTGCCGGTCCATATCCTTTCTAATTCGGGATCCAACATGAACTCTTCACTTCCTGATTACATATATATCATATATATATATGATTTGTTTCATCCACCATTGCGTTTTCTATCACACTTCGAAGTTCCGATTTTGCCGACCTCACCAGGGTCGGAGACTCCACACAATCCGGCAAACACCGACCGACCTCCGTCCCCTGGGGGATCGCCGCATCCTGTGCTTCCAGCGTCCAGGACCTTGGACACCTGGAGGGGGCGGACAGCCTGGCCGCGCTGGCGCAACGAGGAGGTGGGCGGGTTCCGCCGCCCCGTGGGGTCACGCATGCGTCACGCACAATGTCCGTTCATGGCGGCCTGAAAGTGACGCCGGACCTAGTGCCTGACCTCATGTTTGGATATATCTGGGTGAATAGTGAGGCAGGAGAATTGAACAAACCTCTTGTTTATTTTGTTTGAGGCCCCCCAGACATTGCCACGGCAGTAGATGATTACTCGTAGCACAAATCCGACAAGGTCTACAGTACCTGTTAGTAACACCTCCTACACCCTCAGCACTTAGCACCATTTTTGCTTGTAAGGAACTTCTACTAAAGGTTGTGGCAGAGATCAGGACTGGCACGATGATTTGTTCTGACAGACCATTGAGACCGCCCAAGTTCACTAGGCCAGTCCAACTGGGATGCGAGATGGGCCCACGCTGTGGCGAAGCAAACGATTGTGCTGGCATTGGGAGCCACCTGGACTGATTGGGCACGCAGATGGGGCCTAGAGCTTAGAGGTGTTTCGGGTTATGGAATGTTTTAGAGCATCAGGAAGGGTGGTCTTACAAACATGGGCTAGAATGAACAGGCCCCCTTTTTGAAGCAAACCCCTGCGGGCAACCCCCTTCCAAGAAAAATTGTTGAACAGGTGTTTGTCCTGTAGGGAATCTGTTTGGGAGCTCAATTCCGGGTGACCACTGGCACTTCTGAATGGCACCTTGTATAAGTGCACCGGGAATCTGGAGGTACCCAAGCAGTTGGAATCGCACAGAATCACTTCGTAGAACATGGAAACACATCAGGGGGAAAAAAATAAACAACTATGAAAAAGGTAGTTGGGTCTTTGGTGGATTCTGTTTGGACTTCGACCCTTCTTGCCTCCATGGGGCGGAACGTTCCGCGTTCCGCGGCCGGACAGTGAGGGTGGCGAGAAAGGGCGGCCGGATTTGGAGTTGGTCATCATACAGGCGAGTGGCCGCGCCGCGGGCGCCCGTGGCGACCGGCTCGAAATCGAGCGTGGGCGTCGCAGCATTTGCCGCCTCACAGTGGCCCAGCACTTGTGACTTGTGTTTGAAGTTTGAAGAGGTCCAGTCTTTGGGCCAGAAGTCTGAAGAGGACATATTGCAGCTGCAGATCGCTGCAGCACTTCAATACATACCAAGGCCTGGCAAGGCCTGTACAACCTTGGCAACTGGGTCAGACGCTAAGACAGGAAAAGAACAAATCTGGAATCGCCATGACTGGCAACAACTTTAACACGAACCGGGACCCTCGCAGATCGGTGGTTACAGGTGCCTGAATAGAGATGTTTAGGTCTTGAGGATTGGATGTTAAACATCCAAATTTGGAGAGCATCTCCTGTGCCGAATCCTGTTGGCTTTTTGAAGCTGCAGCTACTGATTCCTGATGCACACCCCGAGCGAACTGGGAACTAAGACCACCTAGGCAGGCCAAAAGGCTGTGAGAGGCACCATTTCAACTTAAACCATCTTAAGCCTGGCTGACGAGTTGGGCAGATTGCACTCCAACAAGAAAAGTGGACAAGGCCTTTTGCTCGACGAATCAGGGGCCATCGTCCACTTCCATGCTTTTATCATTGCATTCATTGAGAGCATCCGATCGAAGCAAGGTCTTCCAGACAATGAGTGAACCCGGCGTGATGGACTCACGACGTGTTGCTTGCCACTCACGGTCCATGAACGGTCCCATTGTTTGTTTTATTTCATGAGGCGTTGGGGATGTAAAACAGTTGTTGATTTACCCTTTCTAGTTGAACCACACCTATATGGATGATTCCCAGCAAAGCACATGATGCCGGGGGTGGATGTTTTGGGTCTTTTTCTGAGGCTGCCAGTGACAAATCCCAAGACCCACACCTATACATGTTTGGTTGGTGCTTGGCGTTGGGATTGTTTTTGTTTGACCTCATCACGCACAAGTTTGGTTGAAAAGGCCTTGGCGGCGGGCATTGCCAACTTCGCTGAAAGCATTCAGACAGAGAACGCCAGCGATGTTCAACCACTACTGGAGGAGCGTGTGCGGGGTTGGGCGGGGTACTATGGGACTCGCACACGGGGCATCACGTTCTTAAGGCGAATCATTGCGGGTCAGTCGTTAGACTAGAACTTTCAGAAGCCTTAAGAACCAATAGTACCAGGCCTGATAGGGAACACAGAAGCCTGATAGGGAACACAGACTCCTCACATTTCAGAACCATGGCCTGTTGGGACGGTCACCGTGTTGAGATCGACCCGACCTGAGGTCGACAGAAGCGCCTCCCGCCCACCTCTGGGAGGTGCCTCCCAACACATCCCAAGAGCAATCGAATTGAAAGACATGTCAACAATTAAATCGTCCACACAGGAACACCACGTGCCGCCGCAAGAGAGCGCACTGCAATGCTCCCATCCACTCCAGAGGTTGAAGAACCTGACCCGTTCGACTCTCCTACAGGTAACACAGGTATAGACAGGTCCTATAATAGGTCACTTCACCTTTGGCTCAGGAGTTGGTGGCTGACCTCGAGGCCTCCACGCCACACCTCTTCCTACGGCTTTGCCGCTCGAGTCCGAGCCCGTCCTTCTCGGGCACCGAGCCGGGTAGCGTGTCGTCTCAGACGCGGCGCGCGCTGGAGATGCTGTGCCCTGGAACGGGTTGCGGCGGGGGGGGGTGGGGGTGCTACATGGTGCTACGAAACCCTTCCTTGAATGTCCAAGAGCGATGTCGAACACAAGGCTGAACACATGTCCAATGCAAGGAGCATGCTCCAACACGTGGAGCATGTCACTGTCCCATGTGATCTATTTTTTGGTGCTATGGAGGCACTGGACAGCCTTTGAGTCACTGGATGTGCTTTTTCCATTTTTTGCGGGTCGCAGAGCAGGATCGGAAGACCGCAGTTCCCTGGAGTTCCGTGATGGGCGGGGAGTGGGAAGCCCCAAAACGATCTGAGACAGACAGGTAGCTTTCCAAAATGAATTCAACCATATTCAGCATATGTTCTTTGTTGTTAGAGACATATGTTATGGCGGGTCTTTACGTTATCTTCATTGCAGTTCTTCATCAATGTCCTCAGTGCTCAGAGCCACCTGAAGCTCAGGTGCACCTGGATCCTGACGATGCTCTTCCGGGCTTCGGGATCGCTAGAGCCGACTCTGCTGTGCGAATGGATGGGTGGCGACCTGCTTTGGGCCCTCGCCGCCTGAAGGAGATAGTATGCCGTGTTCAGAGATCGATAGGGGCATCAAGTACCTACCTGAAGGACTCTGAAGGACCTTGGTTTCTGTGTGTTTCTAGGCGTCGTGATCCAGAGCCACATGACAGGCCCTGATATGAGCTGAGCAGTCCCAACGAATTGGAAGCAGCTCCAGTGAAGTCCCATGGCCACTCGATGTTCATGTGAAGATATGTGAAGCATGTGGTTTCCACCCTTTGGTTGGGGCAAGGCCTCGCAAGGCCTCGCCAGGCCACGGCAAGCTGGTTGCGTTTGGGACCGGTTTGCCCCTCAGGTTTTGGCCAAGGGAATCCTCAACATCGAGACACCGGGCGATTTGTTGCCCTTGCCCAGAGAGTTTCTTGGATGGATAATGCTGTGACGAAGCAAGATCCTGTCGGGTTTGAGCCATTTTTGGGATCACAACGGCGGCATCCACAGTCTTCAGGACATCACGCCATTTTACCAGCTCACCAGTCTTCAAGTCCAACGCTCCTTGGTTCCCTTTTCGGAGACCTACTTGGATCGGTGGTGCCACCGATCCCAATCAAGCCGGGGCCGGGTGACTGAACCTCCAAGCGAGCTCTGGAGCTCGCTGGGCACATGGACATCCAGATACGTCCGATGCCATATGGCAAAAGCACTCCGAGCGGACCATGCACTGACTACGTGGTGATATGCTTCGATATGATTTGTGGGCTGAGAGCATGCAGCCAAGCAGCCAGCAACACCTGAACTCATTTCCTCAAAGGTCGGTTCCTTTCAAGACGTTTTTGCACTTGCTTGTCCTGTTGCTTTGGCGTGTTTTGTTTGTTGATTCAACAGGGACTGTTGTGGGCAGGTGGTCCACACCACAAGGAAAGCTCTGTTCACAGCTGACATGATCACCGAGGCTGCCTGCCTTGCAACGTGAGGTCTTGAACTGTGTTCTTCAGCTGCTTGGGTTGAAGTGATGAAGGTGGGGAAGGAATAGAGAGTTTGTATGAGTTTCATCATTTCAGATCGCTTCTTGGGACTGATGTCACATCATTGTTTTGTTACTTGCTCATCAAGCAATATATATATATATATTACTTGAAGTATACTTGGATCTAGTTGAGGATAGCCATGGCCGCCAGATGTAGAACAGCTTCTGTCGCCTTGACATAACGATTGCCCGCTTCCAGAGTTTCCCTTTCTGATGCTTCTGGCACTCAATTGCATTTTTGCAACGCAACATCGCCAGTGTGGTTGTGAATTTTTATCGGGGACTCCCCAACCAATGGGTAGACTGGTCTATTTAATCTGTTTCCCTTCGAACCAACGGCGTCAAACTGGGAGGTCCCCCTATTCGACCCTATTTTAATACACACCTGTGTGCTCAGCCATGCTCAGTCCTTTGCCCTTTGCGGTGCTGCTGAGGCTCCCAACGCCCTCCGTTGCCTTTTGGGATGAGGCCGAGAAAAGGCTGAGTCATGGAGATTGAGGTATCCCGGTATCCCCATTCAATGATCTAAGATATTCCAACAGGTCTTTCCTAGAGGTTTTGTCTTGATTAGTGTTTCAGGTGTAGTTGCAGGTGTTGATTGGTTGGAGGTTGATGGCGCACTTCCTGGCAAAAGGGACAATGCATTAAACACTGATGGCACCTCTGCATTGTGTGACACCCACTTTGAAGAAAGCCATTACTATTAGGTTGGAGGCCCTCGCTATTAGCTTTTGAGGCAAGCACGTCGGATTCGGGTGGTCCATGACTGTGCCCCGTTGTAGACGCCTGATGGTGCCATCCCCCTGGAACAGCGCAATGCAGAGCTGGTGCAACACAGAGATGGCTTAGCGGAAGCGGTGCTGGCTTGAGCTTTGGCAGAAAACGCTTGGTTGCACCTTGGGAACCTGGGGCACCGACTGAAAACCAGCATCGGAATCCCCTGGCACCCACAGATATGCCTAGCCACAGATAAGCCGCCAGGGCAGCGTTTTTGGGGTCACATCAAACAACATGAAGAGTCTTTGGTTGACCTGGGTCTCTGTAGGCATCCTTCCTTAATTTCGTCACCAAGCTGTGCCGAAGCAGGGGAACTATGGGTGGCATTGATCATTGAACCCACTAATGACAGGAAGTTTTTAGGTGCTTTGAGTGACCTTTCAACAGCAATTGGTAGATGTTTCTCGGAGGTTTCTGATTCGACTTGCCATTGCACAGCCGTCCGGCCCCGATTCGTGATTGGATGACTGAGACGGATCACGGCAGGAGTTGATTTCAGGGTAGGGACGGTGTGGTGCCCTTGGTGTGGTACCCTTGCAGTGGTTGGGGGAAGGCCCGGCTACGTGGTCTCCCTTGTCCCCCTGTCCGCCGCAAACCTGGAGGCATCTTGAGAGTATAGAATAGCACAAGGCGAAGCCCGAGGCCAGTCATTTCAACCGCCGAGGGCCATGTTCTTAAGATGCCAGTATTCAAATCTAAAATTGGTGACTCTTCCCGTCCATACGGGTGGCTTCGGAGAAAGCGTATCAGTCTTTGGACATATCATTAGAGAGACCTTAATACCTCTTGTAGTATCTTTGTAGTTGCTGGAGCTTTTGGGGCAAGTGTTTGACCCCCCGTCAGGAGCACCTGACATGAGCTTGGACAGCCTATGTCCCCATCCTGTTGAACTAGATTGTGATTCGCACAGCTAGATCCGGCCACGACATATTCAATGTTCCCATCATCCATTGTCCTTCTGAACAGATGCAGCCCTGTTGGGAGTCCGTTACGGGGATGCTTGCCGGGATCCAGCCCAGGCGGGATCCAGCCCAGTTTGGTGACGGCCACTGCCAACTTCATGCATGCAGCCCGTCAGTGGTGTGGTGATTGCATGGCGATGGGTGTTTGTTCCAGTGGTGGCTGTCAGGGAAATCAGAGCTGTTTCTCCTGGAATATGAGATGAGGCCCTTCCTTCTGTTGGTGAGGTCACCATGGTCAATACACTCGCGTGGCAATATTGGGTGTTTTCATGCTATGTCAGTCTTTGGAAGGGGATTGAGACTGGTGCCTGCCTTGCTATGACGCATGCCAGACTGAGGAGGATCCTGACTTGTTATTGCATTTGGTGGGTTTCTTGGCATCTCTACACCATCCAGCACCGCATTTGCAAGTGAAGGACGTGGAGGCGATTTGCTCTACCCAACTAGCGATGGCATGGTCAAGAATAGCATGGTCACGACGTGGGTCTATATGTGTTGCCAGTAGTGCTATATTGTTTTTTTGTTTTTCCCCGATGTTAGTGTGTGAAATCACACAGGTTAGAGTTATTGATTTGTTGAGTAGTTTCATGAGGTTGCATGTGCAGTTGGTAGGGATGTGAACTCTTGATTCATTTGCGGTCCTCACATGCCAGCACCCCGGAGGCCTATGGAATCACACATGCCAAAATGTCGGCAGCTCTGGCGATGAGCTTGCAGGACTGCAACTTGAAGCTGTGGCGCCTTGTCTTCTGCGATCTGGGAATGTTGTTGCTTTACTTCCACAAAGAACTTTCATCCCTTTTCGCATTCCATAGCTCACAGTCCCTGGGTGCTCAAGAAACATATTATGCTTCAATAGCTGAAACAGCAACAGTCCCGTTTCGCTAGCTCGGTGTTCTACTCGTTTCCCTGGTTTTGAGCATTGCTTCACAAATCTTGAACAAGCTCCGCAAAAACGGTGCTCCAACATGCTCCAACCACGTATGGCCAGGTGCTTGCTCGCCAACGGTATGGCCTTGTTTCCGGCTCTTCTTCGACTCCTGCGGCCTGCTGCGGATCTGGCGTTCTTCTGTCCTCCACCCAGGTGGGTTCCTGCGGATATTTGCGGATTGCCCGGAAAATCGGAGAAGCATATATGTCCCTCACATTCCCTCACCAAAAAGCTTTCCGAAGAAGAATCGAAGGGTCATCGAAGGGCCACCGAAGGGTCACCTCTCCCAGCAGTCCACCAGCCTATTAATATAATTTAATATATTTTCTTTTTTTGGGGGGGGGGTGGACGCTCCCTGAAATGATCGAAGTGGAGTTGACTATATAGTTGACTCCCCTTGCTTCGCCTGCTTGGTCTTCGCAAAATAGTCAAAGCTCCAAAGGCCATGCCATCCACGAGATTCCATGGATTCTTTCGGGGAGTGCGTGTGCAACTCCAATCTTACGTGCTGAAGCCCCCTGAAATGAAGCAGACAATAGGATTCAAAGGAGACACCTCGAGGCCAGAACTTCAGTGTGAATTCCCAGCGTGCAAGCCGCACTTCCCACGACCGTTTGGTGGGACCAAGAGAGGGACGCGTCACTTGCTCTCCCCTCCGCGGACGTTTCGTTGGAAGGCAAGTCTTGGCCAGTTTCACCAGTGCGACCCTCGCCGTGTCGACGGCTCCTCGGGTGCTGGCGGCTCTTTGTGCGGCTCGGCGCGGGGTGCTGTGCCGGGGGGGGTCATTTGGGTCAAGGAAGCACTGGATGATGATGGATCGTGGGAGGATGAAGATCCGTGAAGCTGATCCTTGGGGTGCTTAGGGGGGACGTACGTTCAATGAACATCCATGAAACATGGTCAACATGGTTGCATCATGTTGCATCTGGCTGCTGTTGTGGATGTGAATGAACCCTTTCTCGTCCCAAGAATGCCATCAATAGAACCCATCACTCAGTGGCAGAACGAAGGTGCATGAGACCAAGCTATACAGAATAAAAAGATTTATGTCTATTATAGTGTTTGTTTGTGCTTAGTGCCTTGGGTCAAGAATCTGAGAGGCTTGTGGAATTTGCACAAGACAAAGACACGCATCCGAATGGGTGTCTTCGATCCTAGGGTCCCATACGCCGGGCAACGTGGGGACCGAATCCTTGGTGACTCGGTCCCCCACATTAGGTCATTTGAGTCCTCGAACGCCTCACATGAGGTGATTGCTGCGAACGCCTCGGCCGAGCCACACGAGACCCCCTTAGAGGCCGCGTTGGCGCAGTTTCCAGAGGCAAGGGCAGTTTCCGGAGTTGCGAGGATCTGGTCGGATGCCAAGCGAATGATGATTTGTTGGTGGTTTGCATGATGTTTTTTTTCATGTTGGCGGTTTGTGGATGATTTCTACTTGGCCAATTCGTCCTTTCAGCGAGGCCGAGCTGAACGACGTGGCGAAGCAGTGGCACTCCTGGCGTGGCCCAGTGAGCCGAAGGCCCTCGAGCACCGCCTGGACCAGGCTCTTTGGTGAAGAGGCCGCTGCAGCACCGAAGAGCGTTATGGTCCTAGGTCGTCTTTTTGGGATAGTTGAAAGATGGGATAACGTGGGCAAAGCTGGTAAAACCGAACCCAACATGTTTCAGAATTCAACATGATGTTCCATCTAAGATGATGATGATGGCTCAGTTTGCGATGCTGTTGGAATTTGTTGGACATTGTCAGGAAAGAGTCAGCTGATCAGCTGAGCAAGGCCAAAAGCCTCCCAAGATGAACTAAGTAAAGGGCCTTGCAATATGGAACTTGGGCGTAAGCAAAAACCTGAAAAGCGTAAGGTTGCGTAAGGGAATTGTAAGACATGAATGTTGCGCAAGCTTGCCATATGGTTGTGTTTTCATTAGTAGATCCTTAGCACACACCTTGTCAAGAACGGAACTGTATGGACCATGAGGGCCCGCTCATGTGTTTGTCGCCCGCTCACCTTCTAAACGGAGCCTTCGCGTAAGATCGCGTAAGTTCTCATTATTTGTGAACATGCAGATGCGTAAGGCCTGCGGAAGGTCTTCTTCAACATCCGGGGCGGGTAAGCTCACATTGTGGTCGCGTAAGAAAAGCGTAAGCAGGAGCGTAAGAAAGTTATACGACATAGGGTTTAATCATGCGTATTTGGCCCAGCTCAGCTGATAGAGGAACACTGCGTGACCAGCGAGTAGCGGATACAATATACAGCATCTCCACAGGTTTAGCTCTTTTAGCAGGCCCTACATGTTAGACCGTCCTTCGCCATCTCCGAGGAGCCATCTCCGATGGCGCCACCAAACAGCAGTCCTGCGGAGGACGTAGCCAGCAGGTGTCGCTGTTTAGGGGGGTATAAGAATGACCGCAATTCTGGCCTGCAATCAAAAACCGACCAACCCGGACCCAAACACTCCATTTTGCCCAAGAGACGAGACAGAGTACCAGACAGTACTCATTTGTTTGGCGGTTGGCCGATCTTCCTGTAGCATGTTTCTTGTGTTCATGATGGATCCAGGTGTGGTACTCATTTTTGTAGTGTTTGACTGTTGACATGATTCTGATTCAAAACGTATAATCATTTTTGTAGTGTTTGACTGTTGACATGATTCTGATTCAAAACGTATCCCGATAAATCATTATTAGCAGATTCCAGATTTGGAAGGTGTTGACGTATCGTGTTTCAACGGGTGGTGTGTCGAGCGCCGAGCGGCTCGTGGTGAAGCACATCTCATTGAACCAGAAAGCACCAAACGAACGCAACGTCCTTGGATCGAAGATCATAATCACCGCATTCCGCATTCCAGTTCCAGAGCTCAGTTTCTCATAGCATGTGACCGGTGTCTGAATCAATTGCCGCACGCGAAGAAGCCGAACGCGGTTCACAATCATACACTGCCGTGAAAAAGAGTAGCCTGGCTAGCCAGCAGGCAATCAGCCAAAATAAAAATTCCGTTGGCTTCGAGCCATAACAGGCCGGGCGTTGAAGTAATTAGCGACAACACTGGGATGAGCTCGCTTACAGCACCACAGTTGTGGAGATCATTGTGGCAGACAACTGGTTTTCAATCCCAACAAAGACGCCATATGTATCCATATGTTGTGATATGTTCAAACGCCATTGCCATGTCCAGTCTCAGAACCGCAGAACCTCAACTCTGTACAGATTGAAACTCCGATCCGCGGCGTTTGGTGGCGACGGTGGTTCCCCCCCCCTCAAACTCGAATTTCCCCAGTTCACTACTTGGACTACTGCGTCTAATTGACTCAACTACGATCAGTCCGGACTGGTCGACCGACTCCAGCGTGTTCCCACCAGGACATCTCCCCGCCACCAGGGCTGGCAGAGACTTGGTCTCACGGAGCGAAAGGTCACAGTGAGGCTGTTCTAAAGAGGGCCGAGGAAAACCAAGCATTTATTTATATATTATATATATTTTTTTCTAGATAGATCAATAATAGAAGCGTCAACTGAGGTTGTTTCGGCCCGAAGCATCATGAATTAACAATATATAATGACATAATATAAGAATACTATATGCGGTTAATGCACCGAAACGAACTGTAGTCAGTTACTTGCTGCACCTTGCTGCCGGATGGTCACGAGCAACTCTTGACCCACACGTATCATAGGCCCTTACAATCTTTGAATGATCAAGTCATCTACCAGGAAGATCAGGATTTTAGACTTGTGTGTTCCAACAGAAGGCTTTGGCCCGGGTTTCTTTTCAATTAACTCAAACAGAGCGAAATGACCGCAGCCTTAGCATCAGAAAACAGAATGATGATGGACACGCTGTTCCTCAGGTGATCTCAGGTGTTGTTGCATTTTTTTGATTCCCTCCCTTTAGCGGATTTGCTCAAACAAGGGCTAGCAACAAAAATATCACGATTATCACGTTTGTCCCGAGGTGCCAAGTACTGTGCCAAGTATTCCATCCTATTTGCCCTTTGCATAGTTTCGACACGGCTAAGGCCTTGCTGCAGAACGCCCCGGAGGAGTTTCGCTGTGCTTTGGATGGGCGGCTGATGATGGACCCCGTTCAAACTCCTCAGGCTGTCAGCGGGGGGGCCGAGGAGCAGCCTCGATCCTCCGGTATCTCCTCTCACCGCTCCAAATTTAAATGCACAAAAAAATCCGATTTGGATCTTGTAGAACCTCTAGATCTATAATTTTATAAAACCCTCTGAACCTCTACTCCCGACCTCTGAACCTCTTGGTTTGGACTTCAGAGTGCTGGACCTCACCCCGAACCGGGCCACCGCAGGGTCACGTCTTCGAACGGGCGACGCTGGCCCAAGCCTTGTACCGTTCGGGGAACCGATGCCCGAGCAGCGGTGAGGCGCCAGGGGAGCGGCCGATGGACGGAAAAGCTCCCCTCGTTTCACCATGAGGGTTTGAGAGGCTGGCGAGGTGGATAGATATAACATGACCTATAGATACCTATACAGCATCCTACAAGTATAGCTGTAAGCTTTTTTGAAGCTTTGGTGTGCCCACTGCAAACGAACAGGTGAAAAGGGTTAACCGTTAACCTGTCATTTCGGGAATCTGACATGGTGAGGAGGATAGTTGGGGGGGTTGATGTGGATTTCTTCGGACTCATGAAACTTTTGGGGGGTAAGCAATCCACCGCTAAACTGTTTGATCGTCTCAGACTGGCCTGCTGGAGGAATTTTGAACAGAAAGACTGGCTTTTGCCATGGAACCCTTCCGCGAAAGTTTTGGTATGGCTTCGTGCTTGTTGATGTTCTCGAGAGATGCCCAATAAAGCATGCATAGCTTGGAGTCAAAAGGCTTGGGCCGGAGCGACAGTCAGAGCTACTGTATACATCCCTAGTTCGTGGGATGTTCTTGGGAGTTGGGACATTCTAGAGTGATTGCGGTCAGGCCTAGTAGAGACGCCTTGTCTGGTCTTTTGCACCTTTGTTCATGTAGCATCGTTGTTTTCATGAAGATCGGAACATGCATTGCATGATCCCCCAACCCATTTGCCAGCTCGATGATGGCATGATATAGCAATGAAATGCAATGAATACGATTGGGCCTGTTCCTTCACTCTGAACCCTCACGTGGAGCGATCAACCTCCCGAGCTCCCGCAGTATCCAAGCTCAATACGACCATGGCGGGCGGCCGAAAGACTCCCGCGAAAGCGCAGCCGGCGCAGCCTGCGACGCGCACGCGCAGTACTGCTGTGGCCTGGTGGTGAGTGCTTGAAATCGTGTTTTTTGGACATGTAGACAAGGGCCGGAAGATGATCCCCCTTTTCGGAGGCCGTTGTTAGCCTTATGGCCTCTTCACCTTACCATGAGGAGTTCTCGCAAAACACCCTGAATCAGAACCGGAACAGAACATTCGCAAACTGGCCGAGTCCTTTTCTCAAAACTGCCAGACCCTGCCCCCCCCAAAAAAAAGAATATACAAATCCACTGCCAAACCCTGCCTCAACACGGTGCTTCTAATGACCTCTTTTTGTGCTCCTAGGTGCCTCGCGATGAGGCTTTGCAGAGATTGCAGGAGGCCTTTGTGGTACTGAAGCAGACGAAGCAGGGCAACGGTGCCGCGTCCGCGTCCGCAGCGAAGTGTCCGGGTCGGCGGTGTTCGACGCTGCTCTTCGTCTCTCCGATGTGTGGCGAAAAGCACGGCGCCCGAGCATGTGGGACGATGTCATGCAAGGGAATAAACATCTATATACAATATTATGGAAGACCACCGAGAAATCCTGGCATTACTTCTGGTCCTTAGGGTATATTATAGTAATATTATATAAATATATATATTAATACAAATAGTGATAATTACAAAGTAATATGTTGTATTGCGATTTGTTCCCTGTGCTGCAGTTGGTTTGGATTCCGCCCTTGAACTGATGCAACAAATATGCCAAGGCCAGGGCTTGGAGGACTGTGCGCGAGCTGTGGGTGCTGATGATTTGATGCGGCACCCCTCCCCAGATGCCACTAGGACCGTTTCAGAGAGCGGCAGTCTGTGCGCGGAAGGTGCGCAGACGAGCACGGACTCCTGGAGGCTACACTTCCTCGAAAGGCATGGAAGTGGATGGCACCACTTGTGTATTTGGCAAATTGTGTAGAATGGTCATCCAGGGGGCCATCCACGTCCTTGACTCCATTATTTTTAGGCAGTGTTGCGTTCCGATGTTCATATACTTGTGTACAATGGGGGTGTCCCATTACCTGCAACAGTCGGTAAACAACAATCACTATTTTGAGAGAGAGGCATTGCAAACCATCATCATCCACTGTTGCAGGGAATTGGATTACAGCAAATGGGATATACCCAATTTACAACTGGTATGTGGTTTTGGATTTTGATGGAGGTTTATGCATAAAGCTCAAACAGCGGGTGTGCGGAAACAAGAGGCAGAGGAAACAAAACACCTCCCAAAAAGATGAACATCCTTGGTTTTCCACTATGTTCGCGGAAAGTTGGTTGCTCATGAGAACCCCCCCCCCGCTCCGTCCCCTGCGCATCTGGGCATCGCTGAAAAAGGTGAGGCTTTGGGCGGCGAAATGCTTGGCGGAAGTCCTGCGGATCTTCGTCCCATCGCCACCAGTGGAGAAAGAGAGGACGCAGTGGGTATTGGAGTGTCGTTGGAAAGGCGGGTATCGCGTGTGTTTGTTAAATGCTGTGGAACCTGCTTTTGGGGCACTGATGTTGGTAGAAATGTCGTAGAGCTTTGGTTTCCAGGACCCACAAGGGTTGGTCAATAGAAACCCTAACTTTAACCCTTTAACCTCTAAGGGGTCATGAACAGATTGAAGTTCGCACTCTTTTGGGGGGGGCACAGCTTGGTATGAGTTCGTTCCTTTCTCTCTTGTTTCCTTCATGATGCAGTCAGGGCAGTCACCTCCCGCGGATCAAGCAGAATCAACGTCCGTTTTTGGTCCCAAACACGGAAGCCGGTGCTTTAGGCCGCGAGGTGGAAAGCCGACGCAGCAGGTGATTGACCTCCAGGTTTGGTGACTTGGTAAAGCCTCAAGGCCTGGACTGCAAGGAAGAACAGGACTAGGTTTGGCCCTGAAAAAATGGCAAGTAGAAAGGGATGAAAAGGGACTATATTATCTATAATTCTTTAGCACCACTACAAGCAGTGACTTTCAGGGGTCCACGTGATATCACAAACATTCACAAGAGAGAGTTCGGGAGTCGCACCTACTGCTCAGCATCACCGGAATCTCGCAGGATGCAGCCCGTCTTGGAGCTCTTTTTGGAGCAGTTGGCCTTGCTGAAGGATCCCATGGGCATTTCGGCGTTCAATTTTGGGGTCGGTTTCTCCCTGATGCGGGCATGAGGAATAGGAAAGTCCAAGAAAATCCCAGGGCCTTGTTTTGCTCTAGTGTTCTGTGGAAATATATGTATATATATCTCTTAACGGGGAGAACTTGCTTGACTATGGCTTATAGGATTCACTTTCTCACCATTTACAGACCCAACAGGTCAACTGAAGTGATTTGTGCTAGGAAGGAGAGGTGTGCTCCCAGTTCAGGCGCATTTTGATGTTCAACATGCGTTCCGGACAAGCTGGTGTAACTGGTCCAACTACTGTACATTGAGCCAACTTGAGAGTGAATCAGTTGAAACACCAGGCTCACAACATACGACCCAGGAGCCAGAAGGTTGTTTGTTCATTTGTTCCATCTACCAGGTTTTGGGGGCGCCCTATTTCTGAGCCTGGGCCAATATGTCAACTTGATACAACTTGTCGACTTGAATCTAAACCTGCCCAGGTCCCAACTACACAGAGGCCTTTGGATTGCTCGAGCGGCTCACAGAGATCAGGGGCTTCATGTTGATTTTCGACTGCCCAGACCCGGAGTCCGTCCTTCAGAGCACGTTTGGTCAGTTTTGTTTCTTTTTGCTGCAGGAGGTGCTTTAAAACCCGAACTCTTTGCGCAATCCGGTGGCCGCTGCCTCTTTGGCCAAATCATCAGTTGGCCACCCAACTCAGCCTGATTGATAGCAAACTCCGCTGAGCCTTAGCTCCATCCCAGCTATATACCCGAAACTGCTCAATCCGTGGAGAAAACCGTTTTCTCATGTTTTCTCCCTGATGAGGAAGACCCCCTGTTTGGTCTTTGGATGCGTTTGGTCCTCCTGTCGGAGCCATGCCATCCACGGAGCTCCGTTCGGCGCACACGTCGACGAGTCGACGTCGGGTCTGCGGTCGGACTGTTGGTCCACGACGTCTCCATCTCGGGAATAGGGGAGAATCCAGGTCAGTTTGGACCGTGAAGGTTAGTTTGGGTTCCTGGTGGGCTTGTGCTGATGGGAGAGAATGAGGTAATATAGATATATAGCTATGAGCAGCTATATATGGACTGGCTTGAAGCGGAACTTCAGGTGGCAGGATGTGTTTTTCACGACCTCACGGCCAACGAACTCCCAAACCTTTCAGGAGTTTGGTTCTCTCAGAAGCACGAAGACGAAGAAGACCAGGTGAGAACCTCCACGGTGAAACCGCATGCTTTTCCCCAAAGCCGTTTGGCAGTCTCCGGCAGCCGGGCTTTTCCTCGCGTCTCAGGTGATCATCTCCTTGGTGACCACCTGCCTGGAAGCAGCTCGAGCCAAGATGGGAAGCTCCGATGGCCAGCTGGAGAGTCTGCTCACACCTCTTCTGACCAACATCCTGGGCGAGGTGTGCTGCCGTTTTGGGGGGGTTGAAGGATCGGGAATGGCCAGGCAGCCAGGGAACATGTAATTACGCAACATCTCAGGACACATGAGGAAGCACTTTTCTGGGTTGGTGTTAGTGTTGGTGGACGGAAGTATTGCCATGTGAACCTTCAGCACTGTCGGATCATGTCCTATCACCATGTGTGTGTGCTCACCAAACCCATTCACTCGTTTCCCCCCAAAACAATCCTGAAATCCCCATCTTTTCCACGCGCTATGGCTTGCTTCGGTGCAGCATGATGGCTTCGGCAGGCCGATGAACTCCCGAAGCACGCCTTGGGTGAGCTTCTGGAGGAGCTCATGACTAAGCGCAAGGGAGCAGCCTCGTTGGTCCGACGCGTCCTGGGTGGCTTGGCGGAAGGAAGCGCTGCCGTGCCGATCAACGACTACTTGAACAAGGCCCTTTTTTGGGGCTCCAAAAAGTGTCCAGAGCCTGGATTTCCTAGGCTTCAAAGGGGCTTTCCGCAGACGGTTTGCTTTCGATTTTCCAGAAGTTTGGCCCAGTGAGAGGCACTCTTCACTGGGGAGGAAGAACTGCGCGAGACTGAGAAGGCTCCAGGATACAAGATATCTCAGGAGCGATTGGAGGGCATCCTGTGCGCGACCTCCGAGCTCTACTCCATTCAGCCCTCTTTGGTTGCCAGAGT